TCATCTTCATCGGCCACCTCGCCATCCCTCCTGGCGCCCGAAACCTCCTCCCGTCGCTCCGCTTCTCCTTCCTCCCGGCGCTCCGCTTCTTCCTCCTCCTCTTCCTCGGACTCGGAGTCGGAATCCAAATGACGCTTCTCGCTGATCCACATTTTGACATGATGAACCATCTCGCGAGTATCCCAGCGCATCTCCGGATTCTCGGGGCGAACCTTCTTGCCGACCGCTATCACGGCTTTGGTCATGGCATCCGCCATGATCTTCCCGAAAGGTTGGGAAGACTTGAACCGGCGGATGGCCGCGGCCTCAGCCTCGCGAACGGCCTCAGCCTTCGCGACGGTATGAAGGCGAACAAGGTCGTCCTTCTCCTTCTGAAAGTATTCGCGGGCCTTGCTCAACTTCTCAGAAAAAGAAACTTCCAGCTCTTTCCGGAGGGTGGAGCGCTCTTCGTTGCGCACTTGCTCTTTGGCCGCCTCCACGTCCGCGGCTAATCGGCTCTGCAAGAGGCCGAGCGACTCCAGTGCCTCGTTGGCCTTAGTGGTCGCATCTTCAGCGCGATTGTTGGCCCCGAGCACCTTTCCCTCCAGCTGGACGATTTGCGCTTCGTTGGCCTTCATCTTGGCGCGCATCGAGGCGCGCTCTTGCTGAGCACGGAAAGTCACCGACAGACCCTACAACGCCACGAACCTTAGCCAAATACGAAAATAAAAAAGAAGAAGGGAAGACGGAAAGGGGAGGTTAAGAAAATAAATTTAAAACTACAAGGATCCAACTAGGTCTTACCGCGAAGTGGATCTGCGCCAGGTCATGGAGAGGATCTGTGTTTTCCACCCGCGGCGGAACGGAGAGAACGGGCCCGATCGCTCGGAGCGCATGGTTGGCAGACACCAGGTTACACGCTGCCGCGGTATGAATCCGCACGTCGCGGACTTGGTGGACGGCGGCGATGGCAGGCGCAGCGCTTGCGGGGGCGGTGGTGGCCGCCCCGGAGGAGCTGCTCGCCCCACTCCCATCCCGGTGAGCGGGCCTGGACACCGTTGCCTCGGGCTCCGACAGCGCCAAGGACAGCTGCTGCGCGGCGGTCAGCGGCGGCGCGGCGGGCGTCTGCTTCACCGCCTGGGAAGTTGGCTCCATGATACGAATCGTCTTGCGGGGCCTCTCGACAGCTTGCGGATGCGGCTGCTCGATCTCCTTCCGCTTCGAAGCTTTGGGCGCCGCGACAACCTTCTTCTTCTTCCTCTTGTCAGCGCGTGGCGCGACGTCGTCCACCGACATCATGCTGGCAAGGCTGGAGAAGTCAACACCTGCGCCAATAAGTCGTAAGAGAGCGGTTAATAAGACAGAATACAAAGGAAAGAAAATATAACTAACCATCCCCAAACAGCTCCTCCAAGCAGGCTTCGCGAACACCCTTGGCATATAAATTGATGCGGTGAGGCATGCAGGCCTCGTATTCATCGTTTAGCCCGACGTAGAAGCCGACGTCCGACTCGAACCCGCGCGTACTGCCCTTCTCCCAGGAAGAGGGTGCCGCCATGGTCCCGCTCGCCCATTCCCCGGGGGTGGGCTTAACGTAAAAAAATTCCTCGAACCAAGTTTTCTTCAACTTGGGCGAGCCATACACAAAACCTTCGGGGCGGTTATCGCGCCGCTGGATAGAGAGACAATCGCTCCGCGTGGTGGCCTCCTTGATTTTGTACATCTTCCTAAACAAGCCATAGGTAGGCTCGATGTTAAGCCTCTTGCACGCGAGACGGAGACAGCTCGCGTGCATGATTACTGAGGGGGAGAGCCGCCCGACCGAACACTTGAGCCGCTCGTATATAGCGCACAATAGCGGGTCAATGGGGAACTTGAACCCCATCACCCAATATTCTGCGTATACGCCGAACCATCCTGGGGGGCAGTTGCCCACCATGCTGCGCACAGACGGGGCAGCGTATTCCCAACTGGGGGGCAAACCCAGCCCGCGGACTAGCTCCTCTACATCGTCCACGTCATATGTCGAGGAGTGCTCGGGCCCGCGCTTGAGGCTGTCCGATGGCGCCGGCTGATCGCCCCACATCTCGGCCCACTCAATCACGCGGTAGGACGCGCCGACACCGCGCATCCCCAAGCGCGCCATAGCTTCGGTAACGCGCTCAACAGCGCGCGGCGCGAATTGCACACCCAAGCCTCCTTGCGCCATCTCATCCGCGGCAACTTCATCATCGGCAAAGTCATCGTCGGCGACCTCGCCGTCGGCGGCTCCATCATCCATGACCGGTCTATCACCCTGATTACGCCGAATAATCAGAGTACCCCGGGCTGGCCGCATCGCCCCCCCGCTCCCGGAAGCGAGTATACCCGCATCAGAAGAACTTCCGGCCCCATCACCCGACCTAGCATCGAACGTCGGCGTCGCCGGAATCCCGCCACCACTGCTGCCACCCCTGCCGTCAGATCCGCCGTTCCAATCCCCAGAACCTCCGTTCCCACCACCGGAATGGTCAGAAGAAGTATGCGAGGGAGGAGAGAAATTACCTTCTTCGCCTTGCACGACCTCGGCCTCCTGATTGTTGATGTTAGACATGATATCGACTCGAAATTGAACAACGGCAAAGGAGGAATAAGGTTGTAGAAGGAGAAGAGAAATCTCAGAGAAGGAAAAGTGAAGGAGAAGGGAATTCTCAGGGAAAGGAAAGTGAGGCTATAATCGGGGAAAACAAGTGAGCCCTCCTCTCTGCAACAATCTCGTACTTATAGTCGATCAGGGGGAAGGCAAAGGGCCAAAGTCGGCCAGCGGAAGGCGAAAGGTTAAAGTCACATTGGGATCCGTAACCGTCAGATCCCACCAAATCTTTTCGAAATTCAAAAATCCCCGCCCAGGTAGCCTAACCACATAGTGACACGTGGACACCTACGATCATAGGCATTAGTCGGCGACGCCACCAGTGCCGCGCACCGCCTGGGGGGCATGGCATACCCGCGAGGAAAATAAAAACAACGCGCTCGCGCGAGTATCTCAGTGAACAAAGCTCAACAACGAACGCGCAAGCGCGAGCCGCCAGTGTAACGTGCGCGAAGAAGACGAGCCTGTACGCGCGCCAAGCACGCATTGCGCTGCGAAAAGAAAACAACGAGTATCACGCGCGAGTATCACGCTCAGCGAACAAAGCTCAACAACGAGCGCGCGAGCCGCCAGTGTAACGTGCGCGAAGAAAACGACCCTGTACGCGCGCCAAGCATCACGCGTAACGAACAAACGAAGCCCAACAAGGTGACACCGGTCCACAGCATCGCGCGCGTCTACAAGCGGAATAGACCCAAAGGATCCGCCCCTCGAAGAGCACACCGGACCGAGTCAAGAAGAAACCTAAACAGGGGGCGTTCACAAAACACCCCCTGATGGGGGGCAATTGTTGGGGATAAGACTCGGGCCTAATCACGCCAAGGAACAGGGCGCAACCAAGTAGATCCCGACGCGGCGGCGCGAGGACCCCGAGTGTGCCGCCTCATCGTGGCTAACCACGTCTGGGCGCGAAGAGCTTAAGCGCCACTACATGCGCTAGGAGAGGACAAGCGTGGACCAAATCAGAAGAGGGGAGAAGCGCGCTCCTCCTCAGCGAGTGGTCACGTCAGGGTCATGAGTGGATCTCTGACCCATCCTAGGTAGAGAGATGGCCTAGAGGTCCTTAGTATGCTAGTAGTCACATCGTGGGTCACATCAGTGTATCCCAATAGTCACATCATTGTATCCCCACTTGTGTCAACCACTCACCCACCACCATGTAGCCTATAAATATGGCATTTACTACGGTGGGTGGGAGAGAGGAGGGGATTTTTAGCCACTCTCGCTCTATAACAACTACTTCTCTCTCTAAGAGTTAGCAAACCCACTCTCACTTAACTCTCTCTTCTCCCTCTAATCGAACCGACGCTCGTGTTTCTTCTTGACCCAACTCTTACCAGAACCTCACTCCTACACCCAGTTAGGTTCAAACAAGAACCACGATTTCCGCCTTTTACTTCTCAGATTCAATTCTTCATTCGACCCTTCTACAGGTTTAAGTGTAAATTACTAAAACTTCCATGGACTTTTTACGCTTTACAGTCTGGTCGTACGTCCTAACTGTATTATGTTCCCGTGATACTAATTAGTTCCCGCCATAAGCTACTTCCGCATCATTATCCTTCATCTTCCACATGATGACCAAATTACAGATTGGGCCCCAAACTTGATGGATCCTACCGCTTAGTCGTCAGTTTTCCTCTGGTTTACGATTTGCCACAACAAGCTCATTTTGTTACCTTTCTTATGTCTCCGTGCTGATTGTCAAAATTGATTTATGAGGGACTATGTTGTTAAAATCCAAAATAATTACCAAATTGTTATTCAACTTTGTGCTTTAAGCCATAGAACCCCGCTCATTATCTTCTTACTACTAAGGACTACAATATTTTTTTTTCCGACTATCAGTGTAACTCAACAAATTACTGCTACTAGATTGACCTTAAGTCACGCTTTGAAAATTCTACGTGGTACTCACAAAATATAGTAGCGTGTTTGTACATTATATGCGAGACCGAGTTCACGTCATGAAATCGTGTGACTATTGCAATTCTTAACAAGCTATCTAGATCTCTACTGGTCTATCATAAACAAATGAAGTTGTTATTTAATGTTAAGTCTTTCCAAATACAACCACTATACTTGATAAACAAATTTGTTAAGTAATCCGGATATGTCGGTCCTCTATATAGGAAGGTCGGAGTGCCTCTCGCATTACCAACGTACATACTACGGTACTAGTCTCGATGAGCTAGTAATTCGACAGTAACACTTAAATGAAGACATTTAAGAGAGTTTATTCTCTTACGAAGAGATAAATGGAATTTTGTAACTTGGGTAATGAATTGTGATGTTGTCTATAGTATGGGGGATAACTTGTAATTTTCCATTTTTCCTGCCTTTGGAAAAGTTCCATAATACCCTTGGCATCCCACAGTGACCACTGACCTCACAGCTTTCTGCTGCTCGACAGCTACTCGGAGTCTGTCTCTCTCTAACAAAAAATCTCCATCGCCGATCTCCTCTTCCCCTTCCCTCCGCCTCTACCCGACCCGATCCGCCGCCATGATCCGACCTTCCTCCCTCCTCGCCTTCCTCTCTCTCCTTTCCCTCTTCTCCTTCCTCCTCCTGCAACCCGCCTTCTGCGATTCGCAATTCGAAGGCTTCGACGCCGATGAAGACGACGTCGCCGAGGAGCCCCTCGACCCTACTTCTTTGAAGCTTGTCGATCTTCCACTGACGGTGACTGGCGACTCCCCGCCTGCTTCCTCCACTCCAGATTCCAATTCCAATCAGCCCGATTCAACTCCTTCTTCGGCTACTACGGAATCGGATGCCTCCGAATCGAAACCTGATTCGTCGACCCCGGCCGCTACTACGGCCGCCAGCTTCGGCGAATGGGATGAGGACGAGTTTGAAGGTCTGCCGACTGCGGCGGGTACTCCGACGACTCCAAAGTCTGCTGGTGCTAGTAGCGACGAGAAGGAAACCCCAGATCCGAATTCGAAGCAGCAGGGCGAGAGAGTTCCCTGGAGGAAGCAGTCGTTTACCGTGGAGATAGTGTGCGTGTCGTTCTTGATTATGTTTGTTATCAACTACTTCACTGGAAAGCGCGAGAACGAGAACATTGCCCTGGCGTGGGCGGCGAAGTTCGCCACCAAGGATTCCATCTTCGAGAAGAATTTCAGCTTGTTGGGTGTTGGGGAAGGAGACGATTCGCCGTTGTTGTTGAAAGAAGGGCAGAATGTGTTCAAGTTCTACGCTAGTGGGCGGAGGTTTTGCCAGGGGTTGTTGGCCACGATGGAGTTGAAGAGCAGGCACGATTTGATTGCCAAGTTGTACAACATGGTGGTGCCTTGTAAGGATGAGATCACATTTCAGGTGTATATGAATGATAATGCCATGGACCATGTGATTTTTGCACTGGCGAAGAAGAAAGCTGCCAAAATGATGCAGAAGGAGGTTAGGGATTTGCAGAGGTTTGCTGGGCTCGTTCCCCAGCCAGCCAATAGCAAGAGGTGGGTTCCCGAGGAATTGGGAGTTGTTTCAGAATCTAAGGAGGTTGCTGGGGACTTGATCACTGATGCTGTGCTTGAACAGGTTGGTCTTTACTAAACTCTCATATTCTATAGTTGATTCACTAGAGCAGAGAATGGGAATTCTGTGCTATCTGGCTAGAGTTGTTCCTATATTATTTGAACTTCGATGATTTATGCATGCCATTAGTTTTTTGGGTAAAGTCCAATCTAGGTGAACTTCTCTAGGAAATGGGTTGTATGTGCTTTATTCTTGCTCAATTTTCGCTAGGAAGTGAGTGTGTAAAGTTTCAAGGTTTGGTCCTGTTGCATTGAACGCCTTTTCCAGTGATGTTAAGTCTCGTCGGTAGTTCAGAATCAAGTCCTTCTTGCAGGTTCGCTTGCTCTTTGGCTCAGGTTCTCCCTTCCCCATAAGTTTGTGCATTCTGATGTTGCATTTGACATTGTGGTCTTTCCGGACATGATTGAGCTGTTAAGGTTATAGGTTTTCCCCCCCACTTGTAAAGTGGTTTAGCTCGTCTTTCTTCTTTCCATCCGAGCGCACCTTTCCTCCCTGGTTTAGTGTTTGAACAAAGCTTTCAAACTATTCATCTTCACTGTTCCTCGCTAAGCAAATGAATTGCTGCAAGTGTATTTGAAATGATTATATGCATATGCTTGGTATAGCTCATAGGGCGGTTAAACATAATAAAAACCTTCGTTTCAACTTTGCCCTTTCTGTTGTAGTTGTATCATGTTATTATTAAGTCTGGATAGTTTTGAAACCACAGCTCCTTGATGTGGCAAAATATGAAGTTGTTTTCTGGTCACCGTTTTAGCTTTCCAATTGATTTTTTGAAGAGCAACTCATACATATCTGTCTCATTTTGTAGTCTAGTTGTATGTGATTTTCAGGTTCGCATCTCTCTTTTCTTCTTTCCTCATTGTCTTTTCCCCAGTTTAATTAGGTTTTCGGTACCTTATCAGTTACTAGCACACCGCATTGGCTCCTGCCTCTTTATCATGGTTAGGCAAGGCAGTGTTATTGGATCACATACCTTTGACCCGCCCCCCTGTGTATATGCTGACTCTTTCCTTTGGCTAGTCAAATTTGCTCTTAATTTTCAGTACTGAATACTTTCTTTTTCCAAAATACTTGGTATTTCTAAGACGAGCTAAGGTTTGAATGCATCCTGGAGCATGTTCTTTCACTACTTGTATGCTTGAAGTGAACTAGGAATGGATTAAACATGGGATAATTACGCTCAATCCCTGAACTACGATCTTGATGATGAGGAAGATGTAACATATTAGAATTAGAATAAATGCTATTAGACTAGAGCAAATTGGGAAAAGCTGTATCTTGCTTTATTCTAATTCGTATATGGTAAGTAAGACACTTTAGTTGTGTGCTAGTCAGTCATTTTGTGCAATAAGTGGTTCTTCTCTTGGTGTACTACCCCAGTCTCCATGAAGTTCTTGTCTTGAACACTCTTCGTCCTAGTGCAACTAGGTCTTTTCTTATAACTTCGAAAATTAGCTGCAGAGCTTGTGACAGCATTGTGAAGTATGGAATATCTCTTTACTGAGTGACTTTGTGGTTGAACTCTTGTCTTTTTGATTGCCAGGTGTTTGGAGAAAAAGCTTTTGAGAAGTTTGGGAAGGGTTTCATCTCAATGCATTTCTCTGATCAGCACCCTGGCGCACACAGGAAGATGCTTTTGTTCAAGTTCGCTCTGCCCGACGCCAGCAATATGGCTGATATGACCAGATTGGTAGCTTTGGTACCTTACTATATTGATCTGATTGGTCGATACAAGTTGAGCTCACAGGTGAGCAAATCTATATCTTGCAATCTCTCCGGTCTGCACCCAAGACTGGCCGATCTCGTCTTTTTTACATGTTTCTGATGCTCTGGTGTCACTGCAGGCACGGTCCAAGACAGAGGCAGCCAGAAACAAAGCTGCACAAGAAGCATTCAGAGAACTCCAAAATGCAAGACAAGAGGCCCTGCTGAGAAAGAAAGCGGAGAAGAAAGAGGAAGCTGAAGCGAAGCTGAGCGCAGAGGCGATACGCCGGAAAGAAGCAAAGGATCGTGCTCGTCAGATGAAAAAGGCAATGCCGAAGATCAAGATGTCACGCAGATGAATCAATCATCCGAAGAACGTGCTGGAGCATTAGCATTAACATTCAAATTCGCATTCGAACTCGATGGTCTTTGTAGTGTGGCCACGTCCCTACCACAGGTTTTGCTGCCTGACTCCTTTGCTCTCGACGCATTGAAGCTTTTTTTGATATGTTTACCCCGTCTGGTGTTGGATGGCACTTATAGAAACACTTCTCCCCCGTAGTTTGAGGAACATGGTATAAACTGTACCACAAATTCATATTGGAAACCTTTTCCCCCCCTTTCCTCTCCCGATTAGAACAACGGATACTTTAGTTATTTTGCTAAAAGTTGTCGAACCGTTTTGTACTCTTGCGTTTGGTTTAGCAAGTGATATGGTCTAGCTAGGATATAATTGGTTTATATCGGTTTATACAGGTAGAATTGAGAAACACTAAATGAATTATGGATTTATATAATTTATCTTAAAACAGTGTACATGTAATTTACATCTATATTTAAATAAAGTACTATTTACAAACGAAATGACAAATCTTCATATTTGAATGCACTATTATAACGTTAACATCCAAATGTTTATATACTTGAATTCAATAGATAAAATCAACATCTAGATGTTCATACTTGAATTATCGTGATCACTTTTTTCTCGATTTTGACCATTTCTTATCGGTATGAACTACAGCTTCATATCAATGGTCTTCCAAATGATTTTTTTTCCACAATATCGATTGAACCCGATTGTGCCGATTCATGTTATGAGTTAAGCATATAAGTTCTAACCATATATGAGAGAGTTAAGTACGTACGGAAAAAGTATCCCCTGTAACCTAAACTAGCCACCGCCGGCGACATGACGGAGGAGGAAGAGCAGCGCGATTGGAAGCATCTCCCCGGCGAGCTTCTGGACACAATCATTTGCCGTCTAACCAAACTATCCGACTTGATCCGTTTCCAAGCCGTTTGCAAGCCGTGGAGACGAACACCCCCAAAGCTCCGCCAAACACTGCCGTGGCTAGTCTCGTCGTCTCACGGTAGTGCGTGCCACCGATTCACCGACGTGACGGCGAGAAACGACAAGTGGCGGCAGATCGATCTAGCCGCCGGAGACGGCGTGGAGGTTCAATCTCACGGCTCGGCGCTCGGATGGATGCTCCTGGAAGAACGCCGGCGGAAGCCGGCAAGATCTTGCGCTCTGTGCTTGATGAACCCTTTCACGGGAAACCAGATCCACCTCCCGGCAAAAACAGGGCGGCAGCCGGAAAGATCTTGCGCTCTGTGCTTGATGAACCCTTTCACGAGAAACAAGATCTACCTCCCGGGGAAAACAGGGCAGGGCGAGTACCTCCTCGATGTCGATTGCCCAATTCCGATGATCTCATCGATAAAAGGGTTTGCAATGTCGGATGAGGTAGCAGCAGAGGGATATGTCGTGATCGTATTGTGCTCTACGAACTCCGGCCACCGTGGCCTAGCTTTCTGCAAGCTCGGAGCAGGAGGAGCCAATCGACGCCGACTGTGGTCGTTCATCACTCTCAACCCCTCAGAGGATCGAAAATTCGATTTGGGCGGATCGGAAATTGCCTTTTCTTCCTCCCAGGAAGGGATTCTTTACGTGCTCTGTCCGGATGATGGAAGGGTTTTCGCCTGTGATCTTGTCGACCAACAGCCCGTGCTTTCGTTGGTTTTTCGCCCTGCGAATTCTGCTGCTCTGTTTCGCCGCTCTGGAACCTGCTGCTACCGCCGCTTGGTTGAGAGTCCAGAGGGGGAGCTGATGCTTCTGATTAGAACCACGGAGGCGGGATGGACGGACAATGATCTTCTGGTGGTCGGATTCCGTATTTACCAGATGAGTGAAGATGAAGGGAGATGGGAAGAGACGAGAGACATAGGTGAGTACGCTCTGTTTTTCGATTCGTGCAAGGCTATCTACGTCTCTGTCAAAGATCATCCCGAGTGCGTAAGTAATTGTGTTTACGAGAGGGAGAACATAAACCGTCTCAGTTGTGGGCGACTTACTCGCCATCGTTTAGAAAACAATGTCCATGGTGGGGATTGTTGGATTTTGCCATCGAATTATTAATTACTTTTTCTTGCCTTCTCTTTGACATGTCGTCTGGGCTGCAAAGCTTTGAATAACAATTTGTTTGCTTAGTTTTCCAAATCCGTTTCGGAATCGGATAACGCGATTCAACAGAGATTATACATTAACCGCAAAACCTTTGGACAGTCTGTTTTCTCTAGCTCGCCCTCTCCAACATGGCGGAGAAAGATGAGCAACAACGCGATTGGACGCATCTCCCCGGCGAGCTTCTCGACACGATCATGCGCCGGTTGACCAAACTACGGGACATCGTCCGCTTCCAAGCCGTTTGCAAGCCGTGGAAGCTCGCCGTACTGGATCAAGAACAAAACCCACCCAAATTCCTCCAATCCGTACCGTGGCAGATGTGGTCGTGCAAGTCCTTCCCCAAGGCGGCGGCCGGCAATTCATGCTCCGGCAATGGCTGCCACCGGTTCCTAGACGTGGTCGAAAACAACAATTGCATCCTCCACATCAATTTAGGCACGAAAAAGCACTGCCACGGCTCGGCCTACGGATGGCTGATCCTCGAAGAGCAACATTGCAGGCCTCTCGTTCTCTACTTGTTGAACCCTCTGACGGGGAACAAAATCCCTCTCGCGAATAAAATCGCGAGAGGGCATAGCTCCGAGTACCTCGGAGGACGGGTTAGTGGAAACTGTCTGAGCCAATTCTCCCTGTCCGCCGAGCCGACGGCAGCAGAGGGCTGCGTCGTGGTTGCGGCCTATCATGATGAATTCAGAGGATCCCGGTTGGTGTCGTGGAAGCTCGGAGGAACAGGGGAGCGTGAAACAGAGCATCAGCAGCAAATTTGTACGTTTATCCCCATGGACTCCCTTGTGGATTATCCACAAACGTTTCTTGGCTGGGATACCACCGCAATTGGGTTCTGGAGAGATAAAGTTCACATCTTTTGTGGATGCGATGGAAGGGTTTTGTCCTGTGATCTTGCCGCCGCCGCCGCTGCTCATCCCCTGTTTTCCTGGGCTTTCGTTCCAGAGGATTTTACTCTGCCTTTCCGTGGCGGATACTGTTTCCACTTCTTGGTGGCGAGTCCGGAGGGAGGAGAGTTGATGCTCTTGAGTCGACACCAAACTGTATTCACCGACGACGAGACATTAAAGGATACCTGTCGGCTTACTTTTTGCGTCCACAGGATGAACGAAGATGGGAAGAGATGGGACGAAGCTAAGACGATAGGTGATTATGCCATTTTCATGGTTCTGGATAGCGCTTTCTTGGTGTCTGTCAAAGATCATCCGGAGTGTAGGAGGGATTCCGTTTACTATGATGGAGGAATATATGATCTCAACTGCGATCCAATCTCTATTGGTACTTACGCTTCTTCTCAGCCCCGTTGCAAAGCATTGCTCTTACCATGTAACTATTGATTTGTTGGGTCTAGATGTAGAATTTTTAATTGGGTGTTTTCAGTTAGTAAAGGGCTTGACTTTCCATGACTACAAAATTTGCAGTATATTCATAATTCATTTTATTGTTGCAGATTGTTATATGATGGTGAAATTCGTAGAGTAATGAAGATTAGAAATTTCCACTAGAGGAATTAGGGTCTTACTTCACTATGTCATTCCCTAATGCTTACATTTGTTAATGAATTGGTTACTACCCACAAAACAAATGTAATTCATGGAAATCCTTCTTCCAATTAGACAAAGCTTGCTATTACAACAGCACTGACAACAATCGAAACCCTAGATATGCAATTTTAGATCCTCAGAGTATGAACAAAGAGAAGATAGCACAAGAACTAGAGAAAAGGTTGCTCGGCTAAATTAAACTTGAAACGCCTAACCTTTACCACTTGAGCCAGCATATTCACCGGTTGTAATCGATAGGACTGATCAGTTAATAACGCGAGAACCATGTTGGCAAGAACTCTACGGTTGGATCTACGTTGTGACTATGTATCATGAACCTGTGTGAATGTAATGATCAATGGATACAAATGTTAGAAGTCGTTTGCTTGTAGGATTTTCATCATGGATTTTGGATCAAAATCCCACATCTATGGAATTATCCACAAAGTCCATGTTTGATGTAAAGTGGTGTTGGATTATGGTGTGTGGGCCCCATGTATGTGGGATTATTTTGAGGTCAAAATCTGTGGGGTCCACGGATTATAAAATCTCACCTATTTAGTTGGGTTTTTGTGAGAGGCTAAAATCCATGATGGTAAATGACGAGTCTATCCTCATCTCTTTTCAATATTTCCTATATTGAACATTAAGGACACAAATCATTGAGAATACAAATGTAAATTCAACTCATAATTTTTTTATTTTTTTTTTGATAAATGGATGCAGAGCATCTCAGCCTTCATTCAAAACTAGACGGGGTTCGGAAAGCCCCTGACAGTCATACAAAATCCAATATACAAGGGTGGGGTCATTAACGGGAATGAAACTGAAACCCAGAGGCAAATGATGCCCTCGACTAGCTAAAAAATCAGCACACTTGTTACTTTCTCTGTAGACATGGGAGATGGCGACCTCCCAGTTTCTTCCAATGAGCGCCTGGAACCGAGCAACAACTGCTGAGTGCCTGTTGTCCTCGCGATGGTGGCTCTGGAGGATCTGACAGGCACATTTCGAGTCCATTTGAACTTTGACCCGACGGAAGCCCAGGTCCCAGGCCAGCTGAAGTCCCTCAACAACGCCTCTCAACTCAGCTCGGGTAACAGAGCAAATCCCGAGGTTCATAGCGAACGCCGCGTAGCAGCGCCCAGTGTGATCTCTAATCAGGCCACCAGCAGCCGCGTGGCCTGATGCAGTCATAACGGAGCCGTCAGAGTTGAGAGTTACCCACTCGGGAGGAGGCGGCGTCCAAGAGATCATCTCCTCCGTTCTAGCAGGTGGACTCGGATAGTGAACTGCCTTGTCCATGTCCATTGCATTCTTCACTACATTAACCCATGCATGGACGCGATGTAGAAAGACTTCAGCTGAGACGACCTTGCCTGCAAAGACGCGATCGTTCCTGGTCCGCCAAAGGGACCAGCAAGTGATGCCGAACAGCAAGCTCATGTGCGGCTGTCGAATGTATCTCAGGAGCCAGTCCTGGAGCTGGAGACCGAAGAAAGTCTGGTGTTCAGAAGGCTGGATGACCTGTAACCAAGTTAACCGGGGAAAAGAACAATCCCGCAACACATGCAGGATTGTTTCGGGGCCATTCTTGCAGTGAGTGCACAGCGCCGAAGAGGTCAGATGGCGACGCTCCCGTTCCGCGTTGGTGAGCAGGCGATCCCGGGCCGCCAGCCACAGGAAATGCCGAACCCGAGCCGGTCCCTGCCATCGCCAAATAGTGCGCCAGTCCATCGGGGGAGGCCCACTTCCCATCTGCGCAGCGATCTTGTAGGCGGAGCGGACCCGAAAGCGGCCGTCTTGCTCGGGTCCCCACGTTGCCGAGTCCTCCCCCGCGAGCTCCTGGGGTGGTTGAACACCAAGAACCTGGCAAGACCCCATCTTCAGTGAGAATTTGCTGAAGTACGGGAATGTTCCACTCACCTGAGGGCTGAACGAGTGCTGCCACCGGGAGCTTAGGATCAGGTTCAGGACCCTCCGGCCGAGCATGCTCAAGAAGCATATCACCACTATCAATCCAGCGATCCATCCAAAAACTAGTGGACTGGCCGTCCTTGATGCACATTCGTGATCCCTCGACCATGATCGGCCAAGCTTTGAGGATGCCCTTCCAAAGGGATGAAACACGCGCCTGGGACTTAAGCCTCAGCTCCCCTTGGACCATTTTGAAATATTTGGCCTGCAAAACACGCACCCATAAGTCATCCTTATTTTTAGTAAACAACCACGCAAGCTTGGCCAGGAAAGCAAGATTCAGCTCGTGCGCCTTGCGGATTCCCAGTCCGCCCTCATCCTTGGATTGACAAACACCATCCCAGTGGACCAAGTGAATCTTTCGGGCATCAGCAGTCGAACCCCATATGAAGCCGCGGATCCTCCTGTCGATTTGATCACATATTGAAATAGGCAGGTACGTTGTTTGCATGGCGTAGGAGGGAAGAGTGTTGAGGACGGACGTCGCCAACGTTACTCGGCCCGCATGGGATAAACTCTCGGCCTTCCACCCCGATAGCTTCTTGTCCATGCGGTCCAAAATGTATTTGTACGTGTCCCTCGTCACCCGGCCATGTAAGACAGGGACTCCCAAGTACCTCCCCAGGTCCTGGGTCATCGGCATCTCCAAAATGCGGGCTACAGATCCGCTGCAAGTCCTCGCGGTGTTCTGCGAAAAGTAGACCACCGACTTCTCCTTGCTCACCAGTTGCCCCGAGGCCTGGCAGAAGCGATCCAAGCAGTCAATGATAACCTGCCCTTGGGATTCCGAAGCCTCTGCAAACAAGATAAGATCGTCAGCAAAAAACAGATGGGAGAGGGCCGGGCCTCCCGGGGAGGTTTTAATCGGCTTCCATGCCCCCCGCTGCACTTCTTCCTCTATCAGGTGACTTAGTCGTTCCATGCATAGTGTAAACAGATAGGGCGAGAGCGGACAGCCCTGACGAAGACCACGGGAGGGTTTGAAGGGTTCAGTACAGCTGCCATTCCAGAGAACATGCATAGTCGAAGTAGAGATACAAGCCATAATAACCTCGACCAACTTCGACGGGAAGCCAGCAGCAATAAGGGTGTCCCGGACAAACGGCCAGCTGATCCGGTCATAGGCTTTGGCCAGATCAATCTTAACCACCATCTGACCCTTCTTCCCTCGCTTAAGATTCATTGAGTGAACCACCTCCTGCAAGATAATAATGTTGTCAGTAATATGACGCCCCGGAACAAAGCTTGTCTGGGTCGGGCGGACTAGGGATCTCATCAGAGGCTTGATCCGATTCACCAGGCACTTCGTCAGGGACTTGTACACCACGTTGCACAGTCCAATCGGGCGGAAATGCTTGATCGACACCGGACTCTCCATTTTCGGGATCAGAACCAGTAGGGTCACATTGACCTCACTAATGAGGCTCGGCCTCCTGAAGCACTCCTGCACAAAGGTGGAAAAAGATGGCCCAACGGTATTCCAACACTTCTGGTAAAAGATCGGAGGGTAACCATCCTGTCCCGGAGCCTTGAAACCGCCCATCCCCTTCACTGCAAACCAGACCTCCTCACCCTTGATATCGCCAGCAAGAAAGGTCGCCTCGGACTCAGATATTTTGTCAAAAGTTGCCTCCAAAAGCGGAGCAGGCCCATCCTCGGCAAGGAAGAGCTGGCGGTAAAAGTCGCAAACATGGGATCGGAGCAGCTGGTCATCCACGATCCAGTTCCCCGCGTCATCTCTCAGGCTAACGATCCTGTTAAACTTCCGCCTCTTAAGCGTAGAAAGGTGGAAGTAATGAGTGTTTTTATCACCATAGACAATCCATGAAGATCTGGATTTCTGAAACCAAAGTAGCTGCTCCTGCCAGAGGGTAGCTTCTAGCTCAGACCGCACCGCCTGTTCTTCATCCCTGGAGTCAGTCGAGGAATCAGACTCATTGCGGACTTCAAGCTGACGAAGCTTGGTGATCAGCTTCTTCTTCCGCTTCAAGATGTGACCAAAAACATCTTTATTCCAAAGCTTCGCGTCCTCTGTAAGTTGCGTGGTCTGGCCGGGGAACTCCGAGGCCTTCTCCCACGCTTCCTCCAACATACGAGTGAAATCCTCATGGCCCAACCACGCTGCCAGAAACCGGAAGGGCCGGACTTGCCGGGGATTTTTAGTCGTGGCGCGAACCAGAATGGGACGGTGGTCGGAGCCAATACGCTCCAAATGATGAACTGTAGTATTCGGGAATTTGAGCATCCACCTCTGATTGCCCAGAGCTCTGTCTAGCCGCTGAGACAAATTCCCTCTGCGCCAGGTGTAACGGGGACCCGAAAAGCCCAGATCCATCAATTCACTTTCCTCCACACAGCGACGGAAGGGGCGAACACGAGCTTCACAGTAACCAGCGCCCCCCATTCTATCAGTCGGGCCGAGGATAGAGTTAAAATCCCCGGCAAGCATCCATGGAAGACGCGTTGTGCGAGATATTCGAATCAACTCCGCCCACAGATCCTGGCGAAGGGAAGCATTGGGGCTGGCATAGATAGCCGAGATCAACACTTCCTGCGTTGGCTCGCCTCTCCTTGAGACTTTCATGTGGATCATTTGCTCCCAATCATAGACTGGGATCACCTGAAGATCACTTTCACGCCAAAGAACCCAGATGCCACCTGCGAAACCACGAGCATCCACCATTAGAACCCCATCAAAACCAAGTCGGGAAATAACTCGGCGAGCATTCCTCCCGCTGATGCGGGGTTCAAGAATAAAAACCATATCCGGCCTAGAAGGGCCAATAAACGAAAACAAAAAAGGGACGAAGTTATCATGCCCCGCCCCCTGACAATTCCACGAAAGAATATCTAACATAGCGCTAACAAAAACCACACCGAACAAGACAACAAGGGATAGACTTCCCTTGAAACCGGTGGCACGGGGCCACGATCAGAAATCATCGCCTGGAGGCCGGGGCTAAGTTAGCCCCCGTTGCACGTTGCTCTTTAGTACGTTGGGAACCCTTACTAGCAACACTAGGTGAAGGCTTCTTGTGGTCTTGTTTCGGTGGACCATGCCCCTGCGTGGCTCCCCTGGCGTCCCCCTTCGTGGAGGAGGAGTGAGGCCCAGTTGAGCTTAACACGGGTGGAACTGCAGGGGTCTCACCTCCTCCGGGTCCCTCTTCCGGTCTCGTAGTGACACTAGCCTGAAGAATGCTTCCAACCTGGTGAACGGGCACCTCGACCAGGCGTGAAGAAGCTTCCGTGCTGTCCACCACCATCGGGAGAACCTTCTCAGAACAGGTAGTGTTCACTAATTGGGTCACGTCCTTGGCCATGGCAACCGCGCTGGCCTCCTTGGTATACTGAGCTGTCTCAGGCGGGTTTTCCATCACGATCTCTTCAATACCCTCGTCACTATCGGACTCCACTACTGATGCCAACTCCTTAAACCTCGACCCCCCAGGAGCAGCCTCCACTCTGTCTCTGGCCGCCCCATTAGCTCTGGTACCAGGGGCCTTCCGGGGCAAAGTATCCGCTCTCTGTTTAGGCTTCTTCTTCTTCGGCTTTGCCATCATCCATTCTCCGTAGACCTTGGGTGGCACGACCTCTTCCATGCTCACTGGCGACGGTGTGTCAACCGGTGAAGGAGATGATGGCTTGAAGAGTGAGGGGCAGGTCTTGACCGAATGCCCATATTTCCCGCATTCAGTGCAAATGTTGTGAAGACCTTCAAAGTGGATGTAGTATGTCCGGCCCTCCACCTTGTACTGAGAAAGCAGAGGTTTTGTCAAGTCGACCTCCACACAGACCCGCGCATAGCGACCTCGGTCTCCCGACATGGTGGCGCGATCGACTTTCACAGGCTTTCCTATCCGCGACGCTATTCGCTCCACTGCCTCACGGTTGATGAATTCCATGGGGAGCTGGGGGAGTTGGGCCCATACCATGGTCGTCGCAACCTCAGCAGTCTGGGGATCGAAATTCTTCCGCCATGGACGCACCGTCAGGTAGTAATCCCCCATCATCCACGGTCCACCCGCCGCCGCTTGCTCATAATCAAACTGGGACGTGAAGCGCACTACATAATATCCCCATGAGATACTAGAGATCTGTAACGTGCCACACTTGGCCCATAATTGCTCCAGCCGTCGCGAGACCGCCGGGAACGGGAAGGTTCGGCCAAGGACTTTGACGATTAGAGCCGATCTCCACTTCCGGCGCCAGCGTTGTTTTTCCATGGCTCGAAAGGGGATTGTCGGACAGTGAGGATCATCGTCCTCCGGGACCTCATCATCGAGGTCATCCTCTCGCATTGCACTAGCTACATCCTCGGAGTCGGACTCCGCCACATAATAGTCGTCCTGCACTAGAACCTCGCTGAAGAGTTTCCTGTTTGCTCCTGCCCATGCAGACTGACGTTGAGCACCTGCCCAATCCTGTTTTCCAAGGCCGGCAGTGTCTTGATCAGCCTCTACAGCAGCGATGGGAGTGGTCTCCATTGCCGTAGACTCGAAAAGCGGGTTCGCCGTCATCGGCTTAGCCTTCTTTTTCACCTGTTGGGTCTCCTTCTCGCCTTTCCCCGTCGGCGACGAAGTGGTTAAGGCTGGCCGATAGACGCCAGCAGTGGGATCCGGGGGCTTCGCCGCCGGGGGGCCACTCCCCGGATGCGCAGCGGCCATGGGAACGGGATTTTTTCACGTAGCCGCCCTAGGATTCCTATTTTCTCGTGGACACAAATCCAATATGAAATCCAACAAGCAAATAGGGACTTTTTAAAATCCAACACAAATTCAAAGTGACAAAATCCCACATAATCCTTCATCCATAAAATCCACGATTTTACCTAAATCCTTCATTTTTTAAAATCCTAGAAGCAAACGACCTCTACGAAATATAGTTTCTAACTAGTTTCTATTTGGACTTATTTGTCTGTTTATGATTTTTTTGGAAATTGGGATATTATTTTGGGTTATTTTGTTAGAAATTATTGTTAGAGTAGGTAGAAGGAATTATCGGATTATATATTCTGTGATTGATGAGTTTTTGGGGTTAAGCAATAACAAAACAATTATACTCTAAACCCTACTCTCTCTCTCTCTCTTCTCATCCGGAAATCCCCTCTTCTTCTCCTAATTGTCGTTGGCCACCCTCCTTTCCGGAGGCTGATTTCTTCCTTCTGTCCAACTTCATTCTCCCAATTCTACCCTGTATCCCAATTCTCTATCAATTCTCTATTCCATGAACCCTAGGCGGACACGCCATAGATCCATAGTTTTTACAGTGGTATCAGAAAGACTACTTCTCAATCACTATGTATTAACAGATATGAGAAAAAATGAACTTCAGAAAAGACATCAATAATCAATGGTCAATTTCAAGAAACACTACTACACAAATAACTTCCGCATTCATTCAGATGATTTTGCAATTGACTTCTCGGTTCTGTTCATCTTGGAGCGCTCCCTTTTGCTCCCAAATCTAGTAAAACGACCGGAGAACGTTGTTGGAGAGAAGGTCGAGGGAACATTTGCGGAGCAAAGAGAGGGAGGTGGCACGTCTTTAAAATTGTCACGTCTTTGGTTCTCTCTCTCGATTTTCTCCGTTAGCCAAATGTTTAGATATCATTTGGATCCATCATCCAGTCCATCAATACATGAATCCACCAATATATTTGATACATTTACCAATCTAATCCACCAATACATGGATTCGATCCATTTGTCACCTCTACCGATAGGGTTCGGTGGATATGAGATACGTGTAAAAGATGCAGTAAAAATATATATTCGTATTACAATCTTTAATCTAATGGCTGGTAGAATAGTCAGTACGGTGGAGTTGTTAGTGTTGTGGTATATGATCCACGATTGAACCTCTCCCAACAACTCGAGTTATTGGGACCAACTGGTTCATGACATGGTATCAGAGCTGGTTGTCTGTGAGGTCACGTGTTCAAGTCCTCACGACCCCCAATATTAACCGTTGTCTTTCAAGCACATGGTATGGCGGGCCTGTGCAAACTTCAAGCCCATGAGTCGGCTTTCGTTTGAGGGGGCGTGTAAGGAAGTGGTTAAGCACCATACACGGGCCTGTATAAGATCCAGCATAACCTTCTCCCAACAACTCGAGTTATTTGGATCAACTGGTTCTTGACATGGTATCAGAGCCTTCTGTGACCGAGAGGTCTTGTGTTCGATTCCCGGTGACCCCCATTTGTTAAGCACATGGTATTCTTGTCTTCAGACCTGTGCAAACTTCAAGCCCTTGTGAGTGGCTTTCGTTTGAGGGGGCGTGTTAGTGTTGTGGTATATGATCCACGATTGAACCTCTCCCAACAACTCGAGTTATTGGGACCAACTGGTTTATGACAGGAGTTACTTAATACCTAATCCCATGCCCATCGTTTGATGGTTTCCGCACTATTTATATTCTTGTATATCCGATTGCTAAGAAAACCCTAATCCACTGTAAATTTTTTCCAGCTCCGTCGCGCCCCTCCTGCTCACTCTAGCTCGCCCTCTCCAACATGGCGGAGAAAGATGAGCAACAACGCGATTGGACGCATCTCCCCGGCGAGCTTCTCGACACGATCATACGCCGGATGACCAAACTACGGGACATCGTCCGCTTCCAAGCCGTTTGCAAGCCATGGAGGCTGGCCGTACTGGATCAAGAACAAAACCCACCCAAATTCCTTCAATCCCTGCCGTGGCAGATGTGGTCGTGCAATTCCGATTCATGCTCCGGCAACGATGGCTGCCACCGGTTCATAGACGTGGTGGAAAACAACAATTGCATCCTCCACATCGATTTAGGCACGAAAAAACGATGCCGCGGCTCGGCCTACGGATGGCTGATCCTCGAAGAGCAACATTGCAGGCCTCTCGTTCTCTACTTGTTGAACCCTCTGACGGGCAACAAGATCACTCTGGCGAACAAAATTGCGGGGCGGGAGCGGGAGCGGGGCGATGAGTACCTCGACTGCGTTAGTGGAAACCTTCTGAATGGATTCGCCATGTCGGCCGAGCCGACGGCAGCAGAGGGCTGCGTCGTGGTTGCGGCCTATCATGAATTCGGAGGATCCGGGTTGGTGTCGTGGAAGCTCGGAGGAACAGGGGAGCGTGAAACAGAGCATCAGCAAATTTGTACGTTTATCCCCATTGACTCCCTTGTGGATGATACGGAGTCGTTTCTTCGCTGGGATACCAGCTCAATTGGGTTCTGGAGAGATAAAGTTCACATCTTTTGTGGATGCGATGGAAGGGTTTTGTCCTGTGATCTTGCCGCCGCTGCTCATCCCCTGTTTTCCTGGGCTTTCGTTCCAGAGGATTTTACTCTGCCTTTCCATGGCGGATATTGTTTCCACTTCTTGGTGGCGAGTCCGGAGGGAGGAGAGTTGATGCTCTTGAGTCGACACCAAGCTGCATACACCGACGAGGATCGTACCTGCGGGCTTTCTTTTTTCGTCCACAGGATGAACGAAGATGGGAAGAGATGGGACGAAGCTAAGACGATTGGTGATTATGCCATTTTCATGATTCTGAACAGCGCTTTCTTGGTGTCGGTCAAAGATCATCCGGAGTGTAGGAGGGATTCCGTTTACTATGAAGGAGGAATATATGATCTCAACTGCGATCCAATCCCTATTGGTACTTACGCTTCTTCTCCGCACCGTTGCAAAGCATTACTCTTGCCATGTAACTATTGATTTGTTGGGTCTAGATGTAGAATTTTTAATTGGATGTTTTCAATTAGTAAAGGGCTTGACTTTCCATGACTTACATACTTGCAGTATTCATAATTCCATTTCTTATTGCGGAATGTGGTATGATGCTAATACAATTATTTACGAAGATAGGTCGAAATTTCTAGAGTTATGAAAATCGGAAATTTCCACTTGAGAGAATATATGCAATGCTCAAGAAACTAGACGACTTATAAGCTTAGCAGATTCATAGGAATCCTTCTTTCATTAGACCGAGCTTGCTATTACAACAGACAACAATCGAAAAAGGCTTGCTGGGCTGGAAAGATCAAACGAACGCTAAAACCTCAGCCGCCGAAGCCGTACAGGGTCCTGCCCTGCCTCTTGAGCGCGTAGACGACGTCCATGGCGGTGACGGTCTTCCGGCGAGCGTGCTCGGTGTAGGTTACGGCGTCGCGGATGACGTTCTCCAAGAAGATCTTGAGGACGCCGCGGGTCTCCTCGTAGATGAGGCCGCTGATGCGCTTGACGCCGCCACGGCGAGCCAGACGGCGGATTGCCGGCTTGGTGATGCCCTGGATGTTGTCGCGGAGGACCTTCCGGTGACGCTTGGCTCCTCCCTTCCCCAATCCCTTGCCTCCCTTGCCGCGGCCGGACATTTTTTCCCTTCGAACGGAATCTGAAACTCGGAAAAGATGGAGAAGCGGGAAGCTTTGGATCGCAATGTGGTTTTGAATTTTGGATCTGGTGAATTTTGTGAGGGAAGGAGCAAATGTATAGAGTATTTATATAGCTTGTGCGGGCTGGAAGATGATCGATCGGGGCCGTTGATTAGGAGTGAGGATCGACGGGTGAGAATGGCGATCCGCGTCACTAAGCTATCACGTGTCTTCTTCTGGAAGGAAGCCTTTGTGATTGGAGACGGGAGGATTTTGGAGCGTTGGATTAGATTAATGGACGGCTTTGAGATGACGATCCGTGTCATGGGGCAGGTGCCAATTTGTGTCCGTTGATAAGATAAGATCAACGGTGGATAATATAGGAAAGGAAAAGAGCAGTGCAAGCAGCTGGGCGGTGAAATTGATAGAGAAAGGAGAGAGTCAATGTTCAAACACCAACACTCCGGAGAACGACGCCGTTGGTTTAAACGCCGGGAAAAGCCAAACGCCGTCGTATGCTGTTTGCCAACTGAGATGCTATACTTTCGATTGATAAAGTAGTTTTGGTATTTGATCATCCTATCGATTAGCATTAGTGACAACAATGTGGATGCATAGTTTGACTGCAAGTAGTTTTGGAGTTTGATTCGTTTTGGTTTCCGTTGTTTAATGTGATTAATGTTGTGTTAAATCCTGGTACCCGTAATGTAAATTGATAAATTAAACATTGAAATTCCAAACCAGCAATTCATATTACTCAATTTCTCATCATTTTGAGTTGCGAAATCTCGACAAAAAAGAAAAACTGTAATTGATGCAAAGGCTATAGATCACAAGATATGGGATGATCACAACAGTATTTACCTTTACCTAATATCTGAGATTAAGACTAACACAACTTTCATACAGAGCCATAGCATACTGAAGTTAGGTGTTCCGAGAAGCAAACTCCGAACCAATTTTTATCCTTCAAAATTTAAGAAAAAAGGCCTTTCGAAAAAAATTGCTCAAATAATTACGAAAATGTCATCCCAAAATATATTGGCCCAATTCAGTCCTTAATTGACATAATCATCGGCGCATAATAGGACCAATAGACTTTATTATGGCCGGAGAATAGCCTCGAGATGAATCCATGATCTGTACCCCTTTGGAGTCTGCCAAAAATGGACCCGGAAGATAATGTCACAAATTGGCTCTGGATGGACTTAATCGTCGTTGAAGAATAGCCTCAGGCCGAATCCACCATCTTTATCCATCAAAATCCAAGGAAAATGGCATTTCGGAAAAAATTGCTCAAATAATTACAAAAATGTCATCCCAAAATATATTGGCCCAATTAGGTGCTTAATTGACTTAATCATCGGCACAGAATAGGACCAATAGACTTTATTATCAGTGGAGAATAGCCTCAAGCCGAATCCGTGATCTGTAGCCTCCAAAATCGAAAGAAAATAGCATTTGGGAAAAATCGCCCGAGATCTGTGATGGTACCCCTTTGGAGTCTGCCAAAAATGCACCAAGAAGAAATCCGCCCAAATTGGTCCTGGATGGACTTAATCGTCGTTGAAGAATAGCCTCAAGCCGAATCCACCATCTTTATCCTTCAAAATCCAAGGAAAATTGTCTTTCGAAAAAAATTGCTCAAATAATTAAAAAAAGGCCATCCCAAAATATATTGGCCCAATTCGGTGCTTAATTGACTTAATCATCGGCGCAGAATAGGACCAATAGTTTTTATTATCGGTGGGGAATAGCCTCGAGCCGAATCCGTGATCTGTAGCCTCCAAAATCGAAAGAAAATGGCATTTCGGAAAAATCGCCCGAAATCTGTGATGGTACCCCTTTGGAGTCTACCAAAAATGGACACAGAAGAAATCCGCCCAAGTTGGCCCAGGATGGACTTAATCGTCGTTGAAGAATAGCCTCAAGCCGAATCCACCATATTTATCCTTCAAAATCAAAGGAAAATGGCCTTTCGAAAAAATTGCTCATATAATTACGAAAATTCCATCCCAAAATATATTGGCCCAATTCGGTACTTAATTGACTTAATCAACTGCGCATAATAGGACCAATAGACTTTATTATCGGTGGAGAATAGCCTCGAGCCTAATCCGTGATCTGTAGCCTCCAAAATCGAAAGAATATGGCATTTCGGAAAAATCGCCCGAAATCTGTGATGGTACCCCTTTGGAATCTGCCAAAAATGGAACCGGAAGAAATCCGCCCAAATTGGCCCTGGATGGACTTAATCGTCGTTGAAGAATAGCCTCTGGCCGAATCCACCATCTTTATCCTTCAAAATCTAAGGAAAATGGCCTTTCGAAAAAAATTAATCAAATAATTACGAAAATGTCATCCCAAAATATATTGGCTCAATTCGGTGCTTAATTGACTTAATCATCGGCGTAGAATAGGACCAATAGATTTATTATCGATGGAGAATAGCCTCGAGCCAAATCCGTGATCTGTAGCCTCCAAAATCGAAAGAAAATGACATTTCGGAAAAATCGCCCGAGATCTGTGATGGTACCCCTTTGGAGTCTGCCAAAAATGGACCCGGAAGAAATCCGCCCAAGTTGGACCTAGATGGACTTAATCGTCGTTGAAGAATAGCCTCAGTCCGAATCCACCATCTTTATCCTCCAAAATCAAAAGAAAATGGCCTTTCGAAAAAATTGCTCAAATAATTACGAAAATTCCATCCCAAAATATATTGGCTCAATTCGGTGCTTAATTGACTTAATCATCGGCGGAGAATAGGACCAATAGACTTTATTATCGGTGGAGAATAGCATTGAGCCGAATCCGTGATCTGTAGCCTCCAAAATCGAAAGAAAATGACATTTCGGAAAAATTGCCGAAATCTGTGATGGTACCCCTTTGGAGTCTGCCAAAAATAGACCCGGAAGAAATCCACCCAAATTTGCCCTGGATGGACTTAATCGTCGTTGAAGAATAGCTTCAGGCCGAATCCACCATCTTTAACTTTCAAAATCCAAGGAAAATGGCATGTCGAAAAAAAGTGCTCAAATAATTACGAAATTGTCATCCCAAAATATATTGGCCCAATTCGGTGCTTAATTGACTAAATCATCGGCGCAGAATAGGACCAATAGACTTTATTATCGGTGGAGAATATCGTTGAGCCGAATCCGTGATCTGTAGCCTCCAAAATCGAAAGAAAATGGCATTTCGGAAAAATCGCCCGAAATCTGTGATGGGTACCCCATTGTAGTCTGCCAAATATGGACCCGGAAGAAATCCGCCCAAATTGGCCCTGGATGGACTTAATCGTCGTTGAAGAATATCCTCAGGCCGAATCCACCATCTTTATCCTTCAAAATCCAAGGAAAATGGTCTGTCGAAAAAAATTACTCAAATAATTTCGAAAATGGCATCTCAAAATATATTGGCCCAATTCGGTGCTTAATTGACTTAATCATCGGCGCATAATAGGACCAAATGACTTTATTATCAGTGGAGAATAGCCTCGAGCCGAATCCGTGATCTGTAGCCTCCAGAATCGAAAGAAAATGGCATTTCGGAAAAATCGCCCGAAATCTGTGATGGTACCCCTTTGGAGTCTGCCAAAAATGGACACGGAAGAAATCCGCCCAAATTGGCCCTGGATGGACATAATCGTCGTTGAAGAATAGCCTCATGCCGAATCCACCATCTTTATCCTTCAAAATCTAAGGAAAATGGCATTTCGAAAAAAATTGCTCAAATAATTACGAAAATGTCATCCCAAAATATATTGGCCCAATTCGGTGCTTAATTGACTTAATCATCGACGCAGAATAGGACCAATAGACTTTATTATCGGTGGAGAATATCCTCGAGCCGAATTCGTGATCTGTAGCCTCCAAAATCGAAAGAAAATGACATTTCGGAAAAATCGCCCGAAATCTGTGATGGTACCCCTTTAGAGTCTGCCAAAAATGGACCCGGAAGAAATCGGCCCAAGTTGGCCCTAGATGGACTTAATCGTCGTTGAAGAATAGCCTCAGTCCGAATCCACCATCTTTATCCTCCAAAATCAAAAGAAAATGGCCTTTCGAAAAAATTGCTCAAATAATTACGAAAATGTCATCCCAAAATATATTGGCTCAATTCGGTGCTTAATTGATTTAATCATCGACGCAGAATAGGACCAATAGACTTTATTATCGGTGGAGAATAGCCTCGAGCCGAATCAGTGATCTGTAGCCTCCAAAATCAAAAGAAAATAGCATTTCGGAAAAATCGCCCGAAATCTGTGATGGTACCCCTTTGGAGTCTGCCAAAAATGGACCCGGAAGAAATCCGCCCAAGTTGGCCCTAGATGGACTTAATCGTCGTTGAAGAATAGCCTCAGTCCGAATCCACCATCTTTTTTTTTCTTTTTTTTTGACAAAAGATAATCAATAGATTAAAACCAATAGATCGTTACATCCTGGAAAACTGCCAGGCCTGGAAATCAAACAAGCGACAAGCAGACGGGGACAAAGACAGGGCTTTCCTAGCTACCAAATGAGCTACCCTATTGTTCCGCCGACCTACAAATCGTACATTCAACCCAAAGTTTAAAGCACAAATATTCACTATCTCCTCGAGGATGGCCCCAATCTTACTATCTCGCACATCCTTCCGACGAACCTTCTCAATTATCACTTGGGCATCACCTTCAAACCTCATGGCAGTGAAACCATTAGCTAAACACCAGCCAATCGCCTCCCGAAGGGCCAATGCTTCCACCATCATTGGATCATCCATAGATGGGAAGTGAACCCCCTTGGCAAGGATGACCTCTCTCCCAGAATTGAGGATAACCATCCCCCCTGCCGCATGTGATCCCAATCTCACCGCCCCATCCCACATACAAACCGCCATGTCAGCACCATCCGGAAAACCTGACAGTGCCAGAGGTCGTGAGGGCTGTGAAATTGGATCACGGGGAAAGTGAAGCCATTCCTGCACTTGCTGATAGAATTGACGCATTAAGACATGAATACCGAACTGCTTGCCTTCAAAGACCACCCAATTCCGGGACCGCCAAATCCTCCATAGTACAGCCACTACAGTCATTACGAGAGCCGGGTTCTGAATCCTACCCAACACATTCTTCAGAAATAGCGGGAACGTATGGCGAGGTAATCCTTCACCCAAGTGGGTTAGCCCAGAATGCACCCACAATGCTCGAGCCACCGGACACTCC